GCGCTAATAGCGCGCTCCCCGAATGCAGCCAATGTATGCACATATGTGTATGTGTCGTGTGATGTGACAGTTGGCATCGGTTGCGCGAGGTTAGTGGGATTATTTATATAAATATATATAACATTTATATTTTGAATGAAAAATTGATACATCGTTTTTCTCGTCGCGTGCCTGTATGTATGTACATATGTGTATGTGTCGTGTGATGTGACAGCTGGCATCGGTTGCGCAAGGTTAGTGGGATTATTTATATAAATATATATAACATTTATATTTTGAATGAAAAATTGATACATTGTTTTTCTCGATTCTGATCAGTTTTTTTTAAAGCATAGTAAATAAATAAATAAATATAAATTATATTTTACATATTAATGTCTTTTAACGTCATCTGTAATGTTTCAATATTTACGTTTTGGTTGCTCGTATGTACAAATCTAATCTGGTATACGTTACAGTAACTATAGATTTTTGATACAGATTTATCTTTGAAATCATATTTTATATATAAGCAGATGTGAGTAATAATTACTGTTTTTGCATTATGTAAAATTTGCCTTATTTTAGATATACCGATGAATTTAATGTTCGAGAAGATCTGATGGGATTAGCTATTGGTGCTCATGATGCAAATATTCAACAAACGTGAAAAGTTGATAACATTACAAATATAGTTAGAAGAAAATTCATGCACATTTTAGATATATAGAGAGGTAATTATAAAAATTATTATCGCTTGTATTATTTCAAAGAGTATTGTTTTATAAAAGTTTACTGACCGGTTTTTTGTCTAAAATGTATATACATATTCATATATATGTTGCATTATATTGAGCTGGTATACAGAGCTTATCAGATTTTTTTCTCAATCACAGGCGCATGAAGCTGTTAAGAAAGACCGATCTATGCTGAAATACAGCGGTAACCTAAAAATAGATAGTGACAGTGTGACAGTCGTGACCATCGCCGCGTGATAGATGATAGTGATAGTGAAATATATATTGACGGCAGGGAGCTGATGCCGAGGAGATCTTTAAGAAGAAAGGTATATCCAAAATCGCACACATACGTATATAT